CCTTGTTTTTCCTGTGTACTACATGAAGTCTCTCATTTCTGCTCACTGGAGATCTGTCCCGGCCTAGAAACCAACACTCTGCTATGAAATAATAAATAAAACCAACACTACTATAAAATAATAAGGCCCCAAAACGCAGGGCAGAGGGAACAGCAGTGTCAGGCTGCGCCGCGCATTTCACCCGCTTAGCCGCGACTCTTAACTGGACGACTCATCATAGGAATCTATTGAGCATTAGGGGCTGACGCATTTGGGCCAAACGGCAGCTCCAGCATCTGAAATTTTTAAAAGCTGCTGTTTCCGCTTAAATATTTGAAGCTCTGTACTATTTGAAGCTCAGTTTAGGTGTAGCAGATGATAAGTAATGCAGGGACGCCTCCTACACCTTCACTAGCTGCTGCCTAAGCTTCGTATGACCTGTACAGCCAAAGGTGGGGAGAGCATCCTGTACAGGAGGGTCACTGGGCCCGAGCACCGTGGAGCAGGGGCGTCTCAGATATAGACATCACTGTGCCATGTTAGCGGCAGGGAGGGAGAATCAGCCATGCTGGGGGGGTGGGGGAGAATCTACTACTTACCACCCCAAACTGGGAATGTGTCACAACAAAGTTTGGGGACGGGAGACACCTATTCTGGGAGGGGAAATAAATGGCGTTTTGCTAAATCTCTGCTGACAGCCCTGGCCGTGCAATTGGCTGAGCCGTCGACAGGGTCTGCGGCGATGCGCAGGGCGCTATAGGCGCGCATACAATGCAGTTCTAACGTGATTTGCTGGGGTTTAGCCGGGTCTGCAGCGTATATGATTACACGTGCAGCTGTGTTAAGTTAGGGGCTTTTTACTGCGTGCCCCCCTATTTCCATGTTTCGTAAGCTCCTCCTTGCATCTCTCTTCAGACTCCTTAAGCGCTTTTGAAAAATCTCAAGTACACGCTGCACATATTTCTTCACCGAGGAAGCATATCCAATATGCAGAAATCTGTTTTTCCCTACAAGGCCTTTTCTGCTTCCCGTTCGAAAACTTCATGTCGGGTTCTTATTAGCCCAGTTCTGAGGGCAGCCCCCCCACCAGAAGATAATCAGGAAAAAGTTTGTGGGCACACATGGTGTTCCGGGCCGGAGTGGAAGGGGCTTTACGGGAGGTATCCGCGTTTCAGTGGGAATGCTGTGGCTGTCGAATTCCGGCTCTGGAAGGAGCGCGGAGACTCCGGGGCAGCGATCGTCTCCCGGCGCCCTGCTCCTTCTCTCAGCTCCTCGCTCCCATCCTTACTCTGCTGACTCCCTCTCCTTCGTCCTGCCCGCACCGGGAGGCTCTCCTCCCCGCCGGTGCCGGGCGGTGTGGTGCGTCTCCAGCAACACCGGCATCTGCCGAGGGCTTTTGTGTTCAAAAGATTCAATTAAAAAATAATTACCAAAAGATTAGTGGTAGAGGAACATGGCTGTGTTGTTCGAACTGATGTTTCCTTTCATCCACTTTAATAATAGACTGTTTCCTTAATTAGAATGAAGGGATTCTATGACTGAACAAAAGTTTGTTTGATGTGTCGAAAATTAAATATATTTTTTTGATCTAACAAATTAATTTTTCCACTCTCCCTCTCCTTTTTTCTGTGAGAGATAAAGACAATTTAATTTAGATACCAGTGGGTAAAACAAACCGTTCCCCAAGCTTTGGTCAACGAATGAGCCATAAAACTAAAAAGCAGAACAATTAATCGCCGTGGCAGTTTGTCTGCAGCGAGGGGTAACGGATGCGAGGACGTGAAACTGCATATATGTTTCATAATCACATTTCAGATAATCACGGAGGCTTTTCTTCTTAAACGGCCTTTAGCGGGGTGGTCCATGCTGCTGCAGCAATCGCTTCAGCCCTGCTGGGTGTGTGGCGAATGCAGGATTCCTGCATTTGTCTTCTCCACCCTCAGACTATGTCACCCCCGTGTCTGTCTTCTCCACCCTCAGACTGTGCCACCCCTTTGCATGCTGAATGCTTGCCACCTCTAACACACACTGGAGTTTGCACTGTCAGAAACGCTAGTAGCTGTCACAGTTGACCACTCTGGGGGAGTAAGAGCAGGAATGTCTGACCACTGCTTGACCTTGTGTTTGTTTTTCACGCTTGGTCCAGCTTCTAGGAAAGGGGGGGACGTTAAAAGTGCCTTTTCCCGCGAGGGCACACCAGGGCCCCGGTCTCATCCCCTTATTAGTTCTGCATGTGGGCGCATTATAAATTAATTCTGTCGTATATTTCAAACAGTCGTGGGGTTAAAGCGTACTTATGTGAGCTAGATAATGTACACAGAGCGGGCAATCTGGACGGAGACGGTGAGGGAGAGCGACACAGGGGCCCTCTGTCTGCTGTGAACAGAGCGTGCCGGGTGGATGACCTGTTCTCTGTTCAAAGAGGCTGGGGTGACATGGCGAGTGGCCGCCCTCCCGCACAACACGGAGATGCTGCTCATTACGCATTATTACTGATTATTTTCTTCTTCCATCATTTGCTCCCTTCACCTCTGCCTCTGATAAACTACAGTTAGCAACCGCATTTTAAAAATGAACTGTTCTTCCCTAGAAAACAAAGGATTCAGCGGGAGTTTCTGGCCACAGTGAGAAGCGGAGTCTACTTACGGGTTCAGGGTCGATCTCACTGCCCTGGGTCCATGAGCGCTATTCAATGAAGAAAGCAGCAAACTAGCACTAGTCTATCACCCTACCTGTGTCCAGATTTACATTTACTAAAATTTAAAAAACACGAATCACATGGTCTTGGCTGTGCTACCTACGGTCCTGGCACACACATGCTTCAGGACGGTGCCAGAATTTAAAACCAGACACCGAAACATGCATGCATGTAAACAGACACGGGCACCCAGAATCATAAGATAGAACACGCACACACAAACAAACATTTTTACTAATTAATCATAATGGGTTGGCCTGAATAGACACACAGATCCACACACAAGCAAACACACAACCACACACCACAAACGCTTGTCCTGGAAGTTCTGGGAGTCTCCTGCAAATTGACAGCAGCTCCCACACACTCGTGAATGATCCACTATGGAAATCTATCATTCCGCTATTCAGCGGCACTAAATTAGCTGGTAAAATTAACTAGTTTTACCACCGCAACCCCAGTCCACTCTAGGCTTGGGCGATAAAGTTTTTCAGGGGGGTATTTTCAAATCGAAATAACGCTTTATACAGTATTACTGTAACACCACCCAAGCCTGCTCCCCCCAGCCTGGTTGTCCCTCATCTGCCTCCCTGAAATAGGTGGGATCTCTATTAAACTGTGCAGGAATAAATGATTTAGGTTCCTTTGCTTGTCTCCTATGGCTAATGTTAAGTTAAGTTTGTTAAGTCTGAGGAGCTTAGAAATAGCGACTGAAGATCATCTTTGGGATGTCAAAATATGGCGCCATTTTTTGTTTAAACTTACAAAGTTCATTTTCACCATCCATAAATATTTAATGGAACTCGACATAAAGCTGTTAATGTTTAACCACCCTTATGGTTGAACTTATGCCAGGGGCAGAGAGGGTTGGGAAACGGCAACAGTGTGGATCCACTATGACTGACTGACCTCGCCCAACCCAAACTAATCCGGAGGGTTCCGCAAAAACAGCTTTTATGCACTCCGTATTTTGATTTGCACTCTGGTCGACTCATAAGCTGCAGTGACTCCACCCGTGCCCCAGGGGGCGCCTCCTCGATCCTGGCCGGGCCTCTACTGTGGATGACGGTGGATCGGCTCAGGGCAGACAGATGGAGGGCGGCTCATCCCTACATACATGCTCTTAAATTATGCATAGCCGGCCCTCACTTTTCACCACAGCTCCTTTTGTTTGTTGCCATAGTAATCATCCCCGCAACGGAGTTTTAATTACACCTTTCTGGCGTTGTGTTTTGCCCAGTGGTCACTGTATTCCCCGGTACCTGAGGCCGTGACAGATTAATTGCAGGGAGTGGTGAAGTGACAGGCATGGAGCGGGGAGGGTGGGGGGGGTTTTGGGGGCAGCTAGCGTGGAAAGGTAGCCACATGAGCATATATCATACATATATATATATCTACACGCAAAGACAGTAGCCTACATATACAGTATGTTAGCATCTGGGTTGGGATTGACTTATCCCAGCATCTAAATGTAACCTATGCCAGGGTTTCTCAACCCGGTCCTCGGGGACAACCAGACGGTCCACGTTTTTGCTCTATCCCAATTCCCAGCCAATTGGGAGAGAGCAAAAACGTGGACCGTCTGGTGGTCCCCGAGGACTGGGTTGAGAAACCTTGACCTATGCCATCTGAGGCATTGACACAGAAAGACAATGCCTGGTTTTCTAGAAACAAATTGTGTCTTTGTATCTTTATTTCCTTCGATTTACACTCAGTGTCCATCAGCCTCCTCATTAACATTAACAGCCAATCATATGGCTGCACCTGAAACCATGCAGCACACAGTCAGGGTCAAGAGGTTCACTTCCTGTGTGCCTACGAATTACAGCGACTAAGGTGAGTGAGCTTAGAGGCTCTGAACACGGTGAGGTTGTTAGGGTTATCTCACAGGCACCATCCTTGGATTGAAATGTAACAGGATCTAAAGTTTACAGGGAATTAGCACCTTGCTAATGAGAGAGGTGGAGAATGAGCAGGCTCTTTAAAGCAGCTTTAAGGCCACACATTCCAAAATAACAGCTCAATGTAGGCGAGTAGGACGGCTTCTCTAAACTCCTCTACTCTTGAAGCGGTTCTGGAGGCAAAGTCCGACCTGCTCTTAGCTAGGTGCACCTAATGTAATACCTTTATGAGGACTCTCCCTGCATTTCTATGGGTAAACCCCTCTACTCCCACAATGATAACCTTAACCAAACAAAATACAAGGCTTTTGGCATTTTTAGCTTTTTGATTGAATTTACAGATTTATTTAAAACTGAGATTGATATTGTAGGGGACCCAAAAAATGTCCCCATAAGCTAAAAAGTAACAGGTTTTGCTATGTTGTTTTAGCAGAGACTTTGAGTCGGCTCGTCACTGAGATGGTCACGCGGCTCTGGGTGTCGGAGGGTTACGGACTCGCCGATCGTGATGTAGCGCAGCTCTGTTCTCCGAAGGCCTGTCCTGCGATCCCGCAGCCGAGATGCTAACACGCATATAGCATCTGCATGTGGTGCCTGCATCAATAACAATGTGATAATGAGCAAAGACACAATGATACATCGGAGCAGCGACGGTTAGGGAAACTGGGGCAGGGCGGGGGGGGGGGGCGCAGCCTCGCAGGTCATAAAATCCTACAGCAGGAATCGCTCGCTGACACCGCGCTTGATGAAGCCGACCGCAGGACCCACCCCCGGCTTAATTGCCCCCACGGTGACGCTTTGAAAGGCTATTAAACCTGACTTACTCCTTCGTTTCGGCAGGAAGGAGTAAAACCAAGTGACTCTGACGGGATCCGGCATTCCCCGCCCTGTCCACGTTTCCACCCCCACGCTTCCCTGTGATAGACGCCGACCGAAGGAGAGGAAAGCGATATTAATTAAGAGCAGATTCGCCATTGACTCGGCCTTGTACATAAGACAAAAGGTTAAGTAAATGTCAGAGTCGCTATGGCACTTCAAACAATGAGTATTAGCTTTGGAATCATTAATGTCTGCTGAGGGAAACGCAGTCAAATTGGGTGCCTGATTGCCAGAGTACGGGAGGCTTAAACCCAGTCTATAGCTAAACTGGCACAATTTACAGTGCATGGTGGGCCATGAGGAGACCCACAATGCACTGCACAAGCCACACCAAAGTCTCCCCCCAAGCCCCCTTCCGTGTGCCAGGATGCACCCCGACACACACCTGTACTTTCCCAGAGTGCTACCATCACGGGTCCTGAGCTGGAGAGATGAGATGTTTCCAGGTGGCATGTTACCTTCCGGGAGGGGGGGGGGGTCTTGTCTGGATCCTTTACGGCTCAGCGTGGCCCAAAACAGCTCCACTCCTTGCAGATCCACCGGGATGTGTTTGTCTTCACGGTATACCCAAACAGCGCTTGCCTAAACTCCGAAACCTCTCCACTCCCCTAGCCTTGAGTCAAAAATAAATTAAAAAGCAGCATATATAAATAAATAAATGGGCCGGATCGATGATTGGCAGCTTAGAATTGAAAGAAATTGCAGGAGCGTTGAAGCACCAGCAAGGTAGCGTTCCTGAACATATGGCGTTTTAATTCCTGATTGTCTCCTCTGGATAAGTCCGGCCTGGAGAATCTCTCCCACCATCAGGGAAATATCTAAATAACCCAAATACTTAAGAACAAAGGGCTTCAATTTCCTCTGAAATGGGTTTTTTTCCCACGGAATTACGAAGCCGAAATCACTGCTCATTCCTGATTTATTTTTCTTTGTAATTTCTCTCTCTCTCGCTCTCTGCTGAATTCCAAGCCACTGTCTCCATGACTAAAATGCACAAATAACCACACTTCGCTAGACGCTGCACACCCTATACTATCCTATGTGTACAGAAGATGCTCATTTTTAATCAAAGGGCAGCCTGTGTGTTGGTTGTAACATATTTTAAACTGAAAACAGTTATACTTTGTTTATTCTGAGCTGTGGGGCAATATTTAGGTCAGGCCGTGTGGTATTTACTGAGACCAGTACACACCCCTGTAGTACACAATGCCACATGCTGTGCAATTGGCATGAAGCGTCCAGCACGCATTCTGGTGATGTTTCCTGCTTAGCTTACAGCTGGGATGAGGTTAAAGTGTAGGAATACAACCTGGTCAATCTAATGGCTAAATGGACTGGGAGGTTACAGGCTTACAGCAAATCTGCCAGTTTATTCCCAACTACAGGACTGTGACCAGGGTCACCTTGAGTATGAATCCGTTTCTGAGTTTCCTGGTTACGGGAGTCATTTACATCAGTGTACAAATGGGTGGGAGTGGCTTGGCTTGGCCTCCATCATCAATGCTGACCAATCAGCCACGGGCCTTCCAGTGCTCCTTGATTGCGTGACCTGCCCAGCTCCTCCTGGATATCTAGCCATCCAGTACCCTAAAGCAGAGGATCCTGGATTTCATTACCTTTGTACCACATGATGAACAAGGTTTGTCAGCTGCAAATGCAATAAACTGAGCTCGGCCTTAAAAAAAATGAGCTCTTTGGTGTGTGTAGTATGTGACACACCCTCCACAAAAGATGCATCAACATGGTCGTATTAAAATCGCCAGGCCTGCTTGTAACTCCAAATCCCTGCTCTTTGCCACCCACATTGCACATTCCTATCCCTCTTTCTGATGCCCTCTCCATTAATATCTAACACAACACATTCATCCTCCACTTCAGGGTTAGGGGGGGACAGAGTAGACATTGGGAGGCTGGGGGAGGGGGGGGGGCATGCTCTCAGTGGCAGGGGCCAAGTATGGAGCGGAAAAACAAAACACAAAAAGAAGACTAGGCTGCTGATGCCAAAGCCACACAAACACAGAGACACACAGAGAGACAGGTGTTGGCGTGACATCACTGGGATTTCGTTCAGGGTGCGGAGTGTCAGCGATCACAGCCAAGCATTCTCACACTTTAGCGCAACAGCTGTTCCTGGTTGGGCGTTTAAGCATCTGTAGGTTAAACACGGCGCGGCGGATAATGGGGACGATGAGAAGGGCCCCCCAGAAACCAGTAGGACCTGGGGGCCTCTCTGAGAGCCCAAGACGGGGGGTGGGGGGGGGAGAAGGAGCCCCTCGACCCCCCCGCAAATACACTTGCCTTGGATCAGTGAGCTCTTCCAGGAAAGGGAAAAACAAGGTCCTGGACTGTAATCCTCCGACACATAACAAAGCGCACTTCACAGCTGCCGTCCGCGCCGCTATGGGCCCCGGGGCCCCAGCTCCTCCCAAGACAGGGCCTCCTTCATCACCCTCAGGACAAATATCTAGACAGCAATATTTTCCGCTCGAGCGCTCCGAGCGTGGTGCGCTACTCCTGCGCGTACAGGGAAGGCGAGCCTGGAGTGTTTGCTGAGTGATTATTTTAATTTACTACCTGATGTAAATCTAAATGAACTGACATCAGGGCTGGAGACAGACAGAAAACAATCAGCAATCGTAGGCCTCAGCCTCCTCCAACAATATCATCTGAAATGTTGGTGAGTAACCTTAGCAACGCCACAAGCAGAGGGGACTCTGAGGAGCCCTGTTTTATTTTGCAGGGGCTTTTGTTGTGGTGGTGAGTTGGGGGGGGGGGACTATTTTCTCAAAGGGGTGCAATTCAAAGCCGAATTAAAACATATTTCGCTCATCAAGGGGGGAATGGGATCCTTGGAGTACGTCAGAAATGTAGAGTGTTTCACGTTCTGATTTCCAGCGTCAAATGTAAATAAATTCCAGACAATCAAAAATAGAATATAAACAAGACTGCAGACAATAAACTACAAAAAAAAAAAACGCAATAAAGATACGGCTTCATACCTAAAAATGTAAATGTGTTTTCCATGCCGTAGTGGCACTGATGTATTTCTGAGCCTTTGAATGTCTGTCTGTCTAGATTAGCGTGGTCCAGTGGGGGGGGCAGAATGTGGGAGAGTATTCGTGGCGCCCCCAAGTGGATGGGCCGGTCTGATCTGCTGGCCCTAGCCAGAGGGCCCTACATCAGCCACACGTGGGCCTCCATTAGCGTGGCAGCTTCAAGGCCCCCCCCCGCCAATCAACTCCCTGCCCCACATGGGCCAAGATGCAGGTGGGACACGACCCCTGGACTCTGGCACTGATATTCCCCACACCAGCTCCCTCCTGGGCGCCTGCACATCTTCACGGTTACAATGTCATATGCTGGCACACCTGCACCTTGGCTTCTGGGCCCTGATCTCCCTGACCCCCCCCCCCCTCCATTCCACGGCACAGTCAGGCACTGCTCAGGCTCAGACTCCATACTGTATTTCCCCTGGAAATATTGATTGGAGGAGATTTTTCTGAGCAGAGTGAGACTGAGTATTCAGAGAGAGCACAGCTGAGTTGGGAACACTGCTCATACACTTATAATGGTCCTTCAGGCATGGAAGCCCGTCACTCCAGGAATTTAGTGTCCGGTGGAACATCTGAGGGCAATGTAATGCCTCAGCACCATAGCCTAAGTCCTCTCCGCTTGGGGGTTTGAATCCCACCTGCTGTATGTGTGCATCCCAACCCTATACTGGGTAAGTATTATGCAAGATGGATGAAGATTCTCATTCTTCCAGTGTGAGTTGGTAGGAAGATGCTATTTGCAGACATAAGCTGCTTATTTGTGTTTCATATTTGGATATTGATGTTACTACTGTGGAGAGATAGATGAGATCGGCGTGAAGGAAGTGTGCCGAGATACAACTTGATATTTGTCCACATTCCGAATTGTATTTCCTGGCATTGTGAATATTCAGACGCACCCACAGTGGGATGAGGTAGACTCTGGTCCGCAGCCCACCCACTTGGATGAGGAACACAATGACTGGCGAGACGGAGCAGAGACAGCGCCCCTGAAAGGGTTAATGTGGCGTGCGCCCAGCGCACAGGAAGCCAGCCATATGGCCAGCCACCGGAGGGCCCTGCTGGACCAGTGCCGAACTGCCGGAACGGGGATCCAGATAGCTGCACATCCTCACGGCAAGCAAGCGCTAATTGCATCCGGTGGCTGTCAATCAAGCCACGTCCTTTGTTTAAAAAAAAAAAAGTTTTTTGTTTCCTTTTCCGCAGTTAACCAAACAACGTCCCCCCTGGAGTCCTCTCAGTTTCCTTGGCTTATGACGGCCAAGCTGCTGCTGATGTTGTGCTCCGTGTCACACCGGTCATCCTTGGAGTGGTAAGCGAACACCAGTAGCTGTGTGACAAAACCTCTACATCTTAGTCTTGTATCCGGGCTACGGAGGTCGCCGTGTAAAAAGAAAAAAAACAAAAGAAAAAAAAGTCACCAGGCAACCAATGTAAGTCCATCTAGAGGACAGTAAACTAGTCTCATCTAAAACCACTGAAACACCCCTACACCAATCACACGAGCTGAGCTGAGTTTCGTCCCAGTATGGCTTCTTCAGTAAGTCATCCATACAGGTAAGACCACAGCCTGCCTTCTTCTGGGTCCGTTCATGCCGATTCATCTGCGGGGCCAGCAACCAAGAACCAAATACGACCCTTGAATCCAGCCATAATTCAGGCATGTTTCTTGGTAAGCAGCCGTGAAGCCTGGCAAAGGGCTTCTGAGAATGTACACTGCGTGGCTCTTGGCTTTGAGGGGATCATGAAAGTCGGGGGTTTCCGACGAGCGTCAGACCTCGCTCATGATTGCGAGCCATGGTTTGACATTCAGACGAGCGATTATTCTAATGATCACCATCGAAATTCCAGAGGGCCCGCTAATGCATTCAAGCCCCCCTCCCCAGGTGTGCATCACTTAATAAGACATGCCGCTCTGCCCTTTCACATTACGCTCAAAACAACACACGTGGTTCAATCCTCCCTTGCAGAAAAAGAAAAATGTGCGAGTTACACAGTGGAAATGTAGACAATGTTAGGTCGCCTGGTAGGGAACAACAGGCGGCTCTTTTCAGAAAGGTGCGTCAAAGCATCCGGAAAGGGGTCAAGGGGTCGTTTTGGGGCGTCCTGCAGCCAATCACGGCCCCTGCAAGCTAAAAAAAAAAAAAAACGTGGCCAATTCGTATGGTAGAGAAGGATCAGTCTCTTTGCATGCATTGGGGTCCCGTAAAACAGCCTCCCCATCTGCTTTCATCATTCAGAAGGCCACGGATTTTCAGTACCTCCATTTGCCTGAAGGGCAGCGCTAACAGGACCCTGGGGTTGGCTGCCGGTCCTGTAAACGCCAAATGTTACCGTTCGTAGGCAGCGTGTGGTCACCATGCGACGGTCTGCATAATCTGCATCTACCCTTGGATAAACCTTATAAATCCACACGCAGTCCATACAAGCCCTACATATACTTTAAATATTTTCATACATGAATATTACAATTATGTGTGAGCAAAGATGAATTAACACCAGCGTCCTCCCCCCAGCCTAACTTAGGCACGGCAGTCCGGCAGGCCTGCAAATTTAGTTGTCTGTGTCGAGGGTTTAGTCTAACAAGCAATGCTTAGCACATCATCAAAGCAACAAGGCGAAATTAATGAAGCACGGCCAGAAATATGCACAATAAGTTTATAATAAGTTGTTTACCATTCCCAGCACTGACAGCTATTCTTCGCCCAACGACTCCATCGACAGCTTTGGAAGCAAAATAAGCCCAGCCGCTGATTTCCGGAACGTAAAAGTGTTGCATCCCATCAACTCCACTGTCAATTCCAGCACACCTAGAGTGATCAAGCGTAATTTTTTTGTTTTGGGGTGGGGGGGGGGGGGGCGACTAAAAATTGGTTAGATACACATGTAAAAAACATGTGCGACACATACGTGACCCTGTTTGGGATTTTATAGGCTAATTGCTACTGACGCCACTTCAACAAACTGCCAGTCATTAGCGTTACAAAACATGCTTTTGAGCGTCAGTTTCCAAACTCTGCTCTCCACTTCCTGACCCTGTCAGCACATGCAGGCTACATTTGGACACACATTTAGACATTTTTTTTTAGAGAAAGTTCAGTCACGCGACAGTAAGTTTATAATTCTATTAAATGCAACGGGAAAGTTAAAGAACTTTGTGGAACTAATAACTACCTGGGTGGCAAATCTGACGCTGATGCCTGTGAAAGTCTTTTTGTATTTAATCTAATTTGAAAAATAAATAACTAAACAAACAGATAGATAAATAGACGAAAGTAAAAAATCGCCCGGTTAAGGATGTTAACAAACAATGCGAAATCAATAAGCCTTAACGGTCTAGCTGTTGGATACTCGAGTCTTCCTATGGAGAGGAGTACTGCCGATTTAATTTGGAACAGGAACAAATGTTTACCCCCCCGCCGCCCCCCCATACGCGAACCCCATGCATTACTGGGTTAGATAACTCATTAGGTGGCTGCCTGTCCCCCTGCTTGTCTTCTGCACTATTTATTTCTGTATTTGTGGATTTATGCACACATTCGCTCGTACTTCCTTTATTTGTTCCAGTGAAAACGAGCTCACGTCTGAACTCCGCTGACAGCGCCGCGGAAAAGTTAATCCGATATTATCAAAATAACTTCAAGGGATTCTTCCTCTGTATCTCCTCTTCCTACTTTCTAAATGAGATCAAAAGAATGCTGGAAATCGTTTAAAAAGTCCTGGAAAAAAAACACATGAATAAATATATGAATAACAAAAAACAATACAAACAAAACTAACAAACCGCTTGAGTTTTCCTGTTTTGTTGTTTTCTTTTTGTTTTTTTTAAGCCAGTTTCAATTAAACTGTTCTCTTCAATAATCTAAGTTTTCTCTCTAATGTTCGTTCTCTTTTTTTCTCTTTTATTCCTTTCCTCTGCCATTTCTTTTCTCTCGCTTCTTCCACAGTGGTTGCGGCAAGGGAGGGATATAATTAGCTGAGAGAGATGAATAATTGTCTTATTTCAATTACAGAAGGAGACAAATCAGTTATGTTATGGCGGTACTCAGATCAGACTCAATCCCCCACAGAAAATGCCGTCCTCCCCAGTGCAAAGGACCCTCTCAGATTAAAATGGAGGACCGCTAAATGTAACACATATTACTACAGATAACTTGCAATCGTACAGGGCAGTCATCACTCCAGGGTCTTCACCTGGGAGCAAAGTCTGCACCCCAATGACCCCTGACAATCTGGGACCAATAAACCAATCATTTTTCTTATCCTTTGGCACTGAACTATATGCCCCCCCCCACCCCAGGACCTGGCACACAAAATGCCACATACACTGCTAAAATATAGCTGTAGTACTAAGTTCAGATACTAGAGGTGTCTTATGTGATTTTTTTCCATTGATAACAATGTAGTGACCCCCCCCGACACACAGACACCCCCAGGAGCTGAGCTATTGTTCTGCTTTCTCCGAGTTTGACTCAGAAATACTTCAGAGCCCCCGGCTAGCAAACAGCAATTTCACTAAGTTGGGGAATTTGACGTTTTTGTGGTGGAGGTAGCAGTTGGGATGTGCGGCTGCCAGAGTCTAAATCACAGTAAACCCCGGATGCCTTTAATGCCGTCTACCGTTTAGAATAAAACCACGCCGTGAAAACCACTCATGTATCATGTCCTACATTAGATAGCAGCACTGCATGTGTTCTGCCTGTAAGTGATAAATACCTATAAATATAAAGCATTATTTGCATGACTCATTGTGGCCTGTGTCTGTGGGAGCCGCAGAATTAGGGTTTTGATAACAGGAAAATCTAAAAACCAGAATGTTGAGCAATTAATGATACAAGGTAAAACAGGAAGGTGGCTTTATACATTCGGGTATTACAAGTGGTGAGCTCAGGTACCTGCCAGAAGTGCTCAGTTACCCCGGAAGCAGGGCGGCAGTCTCCACGAGACTCAAACAACGGCAGCAGTTTCTTATCACTGTCTCGGTCATGACACCATCTCCCATACCCTGCCTGCAGAACAGGAGGTAGAAAGAGAAAGAGAGACACAGAAAGAGAGAAGAAGAAGAGGGAGACAGAGAAATCGATGTTTCAGCTCCGGCCTCCTTAAATCCAGTCGGAGGAGAGAGCACACTCCATCCGAGGACATTCCGGGTCAATACGGAATCGATAGCAGAGGACGAAACTACAGCCAGATAAAAGGCTTTGCAGAGGCCCCTGCACCACCCCCTCTGCCGCCCCCCCCCCGGCTGTTTAGCCAGTGCTGTGTTAAAGGGAGATGTCCGTGTCACCGTGCAGAACTTCAGCGTGAATCTTGCATCCAAGGTGAGTGGGATCTTCATACATTTTCTCTGTCTCTTTTTGAAGATATCGGCTCTCATTGGTGGATCGGCCTCCACGTCGCCACCTATAGGTGAGCTGAAGTACGTGCTGGGGCTATGGTGGGAACTGCTGGCACAGGGCTGCTCTTCTGTGCTTCGAACCTGTGTGCGATGCCTCTGACAATCCCCCCACGTTTCCAGTTACTATTCCCACTGTCATAATTTCACAGGCAGTGTGAAAGGCGCAAGCTAATCACAATGATGTTAATGGAAATAAGTCAAATTTCTAATATGTTTATTTTTCCGGCATGTTCCATGTGAAATAATCACATTTATGACGTCTGGGTCCCCTCAAAGCCAAATCTAATTTGGACTCTTTCTAGGTTTCTCTATGTTCAATATCATTCCATGACATTTTATGACAAAAAGAAAAAAAAATAAATTGACCAATTAAGGAAATAAGGATATCAATTAAGTGCTGTAATTGAGAATTTGTTAGATTAAAAGCTTCATCCCCAGAGGCCAAAGTAATAAAAGCCATAAAGATTGATTTAATGTAAATGTACAGTACAGGCAATGCCAACGTGACCAGGGACATTTAATCGTTGTGTACACAGGCTGAGTGACATGACAGATCCTTGTGACATGACAGATCCTCGTGACAGGACACTCCTGGCCGTGACTGAGACCCCACTCCAGGAAAAGGAAAAAAAAAATTGAGAAGAATCACCGCGGCCCACACACCTGGAGAGAAAGCCGGAACTGGCAAAGGCAGGCGCTGCCAGATGTGTTCCGACTGAACCTGTCGCCCTCCTGTCGGTTGATGAGAGCCTCCCGTGTGTCTGTTCCCAACAAAACCTCGGCTGCACATCAAGGGCCCGGCACATGGGACGCCATGTCTCCCGTCGCCACGTGAGCGTGCGCTGTCATAGATGGACTCCCACAAAGCACCGTGCACTACGAGACGGGGGACCGCTCCGCCGGGGGTGCAGCATCTGGTCAACTCTGCAGTAACGGTCTCTGTGGGAAAGAGGGCGGTGCCTCTGGTCTGGGGCGGGGCTTTGGGCCTGGGGCGGAGCTTAAGGGAACAATGTTATTACCGCAATGGTAGCATCATAGCCCCAAGGGGCGGAGCCAAGCTGAAAGAGTCTGGTGTGTAAGACCTATGGAGGGGGGGGTGGCTAATATGGATGTAGGAAGGTCAGTTTCTCTTCGTCAAGGACACGCCAGCAAGAGATCCCACAGAATACCTGCTCTCTCCCCCCCAATGTGGGCCAGTATCTCACCCTTCCCAGGCATCAGAGGTTGCACTCTGACTATTCATGTAGTCATTGTAAGCTTTATATGCATATGACAGTATTGCATTACGTAAGGCACAGTAAACAATGGAATTGCTTGCATTTAGCTCTGTAATTAAAACAGCTGTTTCCCGTGCCAGGGTGCCCTATATAGGAACCCCCCCCCCAAAGCCCACCTGTCAATGGACACATGCGAACGAATTCGCAATGACACACCGTCCTCCACCTTAAATATTGCATGACAGTCCTCCATGCCGCCGGTCATTATACTGGCAGAGGTTTGACCGAGGGGCAAATTCTTTGTGGCGAAGAGGGTAGATCGTTTAATAAAACAACAGCCGGCCTGATTGGAGGCCCTTTTGCAGACCGTCTCAAGATGAGGCGGGTAGCTAAACAGTCCAATCGCCGGCGAGCAGCATCCCCATGCCGACAGGAGACTGCATCTCACCCCGGGTACGGTTACAGGCTCCTCAGGGTCTCAGGGCCGACAGCAGCGTGGGGGAGGAGCCTCTCTGTTTATCAGGACCTTGATAGCTGCAGATGTCACCCTATAAATGCAGAATCTGCTTAGCTATTCATTTTACCCAGATGAGCGATGGACCAGAGCTTTCCTGGCTTATGTGTCCCGGTTTCCCTCTGTTTGTAGCGACCCGGCATCCTCCAGGCTTCTGTGCGGATCCGCACCTGCCTCGGCGAGGTTCAGAGCGGGCAGGAGCGCGAGGGAGGCTCTTCAAAATGGCCCACGAGGACGTGAAACATGTGAAAACACATGGGGGGGGGGGGGGTGGTAGTTGTGTCCGGGTATTTTTGAGAAGGTAGCCTCTGTTTGGAGTGAGGATTGTGAATCAGTGAGTTAGGGTGCTGCCCCCATCCCTGATTGGAAGGACTGGCAGAGTGATGCTGCCATCGGGCCCCTGAGTGAGGCCCTTATCGGCCAGCTCCAAGGGCGCTGCACGCTGGCTAACCCCGTGCTGTGACCCTGAATATGGGGGAGGTGAACAGAGAATTTCCCAACGGGAATGAATAAAGTACAGTGATCCACGGTTTCTGAAAATATTACATGGAAAACTCCACAACTAATTCCTAAGTTTTAAACTGTGTGATGCAGTGTCGTGTCATCCTGCCCGGGATGTGAATCTCCCCTTGGTCCAGCATATCCACACTGGATCCGATACCTGCCAGTTAGTCACTTAGCATTCGTCTCGGTAATCAGATCCACTGTCTTGGTATTGCAGTGCCTGTGTTCAAGTAACCCTTTTTTTCCAGTGATATTTTATTATTAGTTATTGTTATTAATATTGTTATTGGGTCTAATTTAGGAATTAAATATACACTGTAAATATATCATACTGCATATATATCATACTGTAGGTAGGTATGTATGTATAGGAAAGAAACATAATATAAACGGCATCAGCAGAGAGGATTAGTGGCTGTACGTCAAAGCTCACCAACAGGGAAGCTTGGCAGCATCACTGCAAAAGACCACAGAAATGACCACAGATCTGAATCAGCACCTCTGTGACCCAGCCTCAACAAAAACTGTACTGTGAGCTTCACAAAGCTGTAATCAATACCAAGGCTGCTGTTCAGACTCTGCCTCCGTCCAAGGCCAATCCGCAGAGGTGCTAACCTGATGTAAGGAGCCCCGGGCCCCTGAACAACGGAAAAAGGGAAATATTCAGCTGTTTTCCTAGATCCGGATGTTTTATGTTTCTTCTACCACAATCTTAGCTGGTATGAGCAGCCATCTTGTGTCCTTGAGATCTTAAGTCTGATGGTTGCTCTGCATGCCCATATAACAAATAAAAAATATGCGGCCATCTTACAGGACTCGGTGTACCCTGTGGGGCATGCGCCCCTCCCTCAACATCTTCCTGTATATAAACACAACGCTACACAAATTTAACCTTGGTTTCATGAACATCAGGATGAAGTCAAGCACTGTCCACGGTCATCACTACCCATCAGATATAAACAACACTGAACCTACGAAGTAGATTTCCACTTCCTTTACCCTTCAGGTATCTGGAAGCTTTTCTTCTTGATGAATGTCCAAATATGGTATAAGCCTTGCAGGAGGTGCCTGATTGGTGCCCCCGGTGCCGATTAAGTGATTTATATTAATGTACTGTTAGGTGTTCTATTATTTTGCCCACCTCCTTCACAAAATGCAATTAACTGCTGTCCACAATAAGACTGAATGCTGTGCTGGTGAGGTTGCATGAGGATCCACACGCACATGGGCCGTGCTGAGGCTACGGGCGAATTCGATGCATGCTGCAGGCCATGCGATGCATGTTGCAGGCCAGGTGAGGCACGGACAGAGCAGGAACGCGCCATCGAACATGAAGTGATTAGCTTCCCAGCGCGGTCCACACTGCGCTGCCAGGAGTGGCAGATTGATGCACAGCGAGGGGCCCCGTGTTTCTCGCTCTTGCCGTGTATCTGTGTGGGTACGAGGGAGGTGGTGAAGACTGGGGAGGGGGGGTTTGAACATGGCTTGACCTTTATTGTACATATCTGCTGCTCTTTAATTGGACCTGATTGCATGTTCGCATAAATTAAACAACACCACAGGTGGGTGAAATTATAACGAGCTAAGCGTCTGCAACATTTATACCGATATTTCAAAAGCTACACGGTTGCTCTCCTCCATTTTATTAATCTCACTTATTGTTTTTTAAAGATTCCACAGAAAATGACCTCTTTGCAAAACAACCACTTAAAAAGCACTGCTTAAACTTGTTTTACTCTTGCAAGGGAGCAGATGCTGGCATGGGAGAACGGAGAACCTCAAACAACGTTCCCCATGCTGGGCGGCAATGTTTCCGAGGAGTTTAAGCAACATCACTCTGAGTAGGGTTATGGTTGGCCTGCTCCTTTAAAAGCATAAAATAGAGCCCCCCCCACCCCCTTTTTTTCGAAACACACTTTCCACTTCATAAATTTCGCCGCGCCGCACTTTGAAATTGTGGCCATCCAGGAAATTTGCAATTCAACGAGTGGCATGTCCACAAATATTCAAATGTGTGCCCTAAGTGGATATTTCCTGAAAGTGCTTGAAAGGCTGCTGTTTATCCCTGGGAAAGCTGCATGCTACCACTGATACATCTGCATACACATTCCCAGCGACAACATGTGCGCGTTACTGTCATCTTAAAGCGCATTACGGCGACTCCTCATCGCAGCTCCTTCATTAAACATATGCTTACTGGACCCGCACGCAGGTAACATTACCATTTAATGGGGTCTCTCCTTCAGTTTGACTGCAGATATAAATGACACACAAGAAAGAGGCGGGCAGGCACCAGAGGCACGCTGAGAAATCGCCCTGCGTTCCTTTGTCCGAGTGATGCGTGCCCGGAATGCTAATGCAGTCGCCCGATGCCCC